GGGGGGGGGGCGGGTACAGGGATGTTATATTACCTGATTAAAGACACTATTGTTATTCCTTGAAAGAGGATACATGCCATCCTCCCAGTGCCAACCACTCAAAGTATGGACTAAAGGAGGATATGGGTTCAGTTCTAGTTCTGCCGCTGCCACTCACGGTCATTCGACTTTGGGCAAGTCCTTTCCCCTCTCTGGAAATCAGTTTTTTCATCTTATGCAATGAGGAGAGGAGTTCAGATTAGACATTAGATGATTAACATCACAACTATACTGGTACAGGGAAGTCTAAGAAGAAGAAGAAATGAATCCTATCTTCAAGCAGTTTGTCCTCCATCCAGGTAAATACAGCAGGTTTGCTAAATTTTTGATATGTGAGTCTTATTTTCCTAATGGTTTCCAATAAAAGATTGGGAATTATAGTAGGTTGAAGAGTGTCCCCAAAAGTTCATATTGACCTGGAACCTCAGAAATTATCTTATTTGGAAATACGGTCTTTGCAGATGTATATAAGGTAAGGATTGAGATGAGATCATACTGGGTTAGGGTAGGCCGTAATTCCAATGAGTTGTCCTTATGAGACAGACAAGGACATATAGGGACACACAGAGAAGATGATGTGAAGATAGATGCAGAGATTGGAGTGATGCATCTATAAGCTAAGGAATGCCATGAACCACCAGAAGCTAGAAGAGGCAAGGAAAGATTCTCTCCTAGAACCTTAGGAAGGAGCATGGCCCTGCTGACACCTTAATTTTAGACTTCTAGTCTTCAAAATGGTGAGAGTTTCTGTTTTAAAACCAAGTTTGTGGTGATTTGTTTTGGCAGCCCTAGCAAACTAATATAGGAGTATTCTGAGGAATTTTTAGATACCAACTTTTATAAAATCACACTTGAGATTTAATAAAAAAAATTTGGCCCTGACTGGTATGGCTCAGCTGGGCATTGTCCCATGCACCAGAAGGTTGCTAGTTCGATTCCAAGCCAGGCACATGCCTGGGTTGTGGCCTTGATCCCGGGGGGGGGGAGGGAATGCAGGATGTTGCACTCTCACATTGATGTTTTTCTCCTTTCCCTTTCTAAAAATCAATAAACTTAAAAAAAAAAAAAAAGTCAACTCATGCACTAGCCAAAGAAGTTGGCCAGATCCTGTCTTTATAAAATAGAAAAAATTTTATGATAATACAAATATGAACTATACTCACATAATAGAGCTAAGACTTGTAAAAGCAAAAATTAAAGCTCAGAACCACACTTGAATTGATTCTGCCCAGGAAAACCTGTCTTCTAAGACTGAGGCAGTAATCCCCCAAACTGCCCACCTCCGACTGCTTTTTCCTATCGCAAACTCTAGACATTTTTTAACTTTCACTCTAGGTCATCTTTTTACAATGCAGATTGTAGAGTCTTAGGATGCTTTCCCATACTGAATTTATTCGCCAATACATGTACATCTAGCTATCTGCAGTCCCCCTTGGTAGCAGGAGGTAGCAGGAGATATAGCTAAGGCCTGAGATACCTAAACTTGCTTTACTATAGGATCTGTCTTGTGCCTACCTGTGCAGACCTGGAGTTGCTAGCCAGGGTGTGAGAGGGAACCCCAAAGATCAAGGATGCATAAATCAAGGATGAAGGATGGATGTATCAGAGTCAAGATTGACTTTATTGTTACTAGGCTACTAGTTTATTTAACTGATAGCTGTGGTTTCTATTAGGAACTCTTAGCTTATCAAAAGGGTACTTTGTGTGTTGAAAA